CACAGGCGCAAAGTTTCTTCTGGAGCCGAGGCTTCGGGCCGGTGGCAAGGAGAGGCGCTGGCTGCCTGCTCACAAGCATCCCGCGTCCCCGCGTCCCCGCGCGCGCTCTTTGCGGCTCTCCAGGTAGTTAGGCCCTGGGACCCAGGACCAGGTCCCTGACGTCAGGCTGCAGTGGTTCTCAACCTTCCTAACGCCGCGACCCTTTAGTGCAGTTCCTCATGTTGTGGTGACCCCCAATTTCATCGTTTCAAATTGAACATAATTAAAGCATAGTGATTAATCACAAAACAATATGTAATTATATATGTGTTTTCCGATGGTCTTAGGCGACCCCTGTGAAAGGGTCGTTCGACCCCCAAAGGGGTCGCGACCCACAGGTTGAGAACCTCTAAAGTTTAGCGGGTCCCGGGTCCCCCTTCCACAGGCTCCTCGTCAGGGCTTCCTTCCCTTCCTTCCCTTTTCTTTCCCCCACTTCGCTTTTCTATTTTTGCAATGGGGGTCCCCCGCCTACCTGCATTCCTTCTGCTGCTCGGGGTCGGGCCAAGGACTTGGGCCCCGGAGTAGGCACAACCACAGCCCTCAGCTCCCCTGTTTAAGGAGATGTCCTCGTCCACCTAAACTGGGACCCTGGGGGTGGGCCCTTTGGGGGCCGGAGGCTTAGAGAAGGGGGATTGGGAGGCGAGGGGAGAGGTCCCATGGCGGGGAGTGGCTGCCCCGACCCCCACCGCGGTCCCGCCCGGCGGGGAAATCAGGCCTGCGGGTGTCAGGTTACGGGACTGCAGCTGAGAGGCTTTCAGACGCATCACAGCCCGGTCACCTGGGTTGGGCCCATGTCCCTGGCGTCCGGAGGTTGAGGGCTGCTTCAGCCAGGGACCTGCCCCCTGCTTGGCGGGCTTAGACTGCGGTTTAGGCTGCTCAGCCCACCGCATTCTCAAAGGAGAATGTCTGGCTGGGACCTCTCCCCACCCCACATCATCCCACCCACACCCGGGCCGGGAGACATCTCTGAAGGAGCACACCAGACACCCCTCACCAGTCACATTCTGTAGTGTGAATACAAAGAGCAACAACAATGTTATCACCAATAGCAGCAACCTGGGCTTCCTGAGCGCTTCCTGCCGGCTCCACCAATAGGATCCAGGCAATGACTTAGTTACTCTTCACTGTGAAACTCAGAGGAAGGTATTAGCACCCCCATTTTACAGATAAGAAAACTGAGGCGCAGAGAAGGAAAGTGGTTAGCCAGGGTCACCCAGCAAGCAAGTAGCAGAATCAGGGTTTGAACCCAGGTCTTGCTTAACTGATCCTCTGATTTGCTTCCAGTCTGGCCACGCATCCAAGTTCACATTGTTAGAAAATCCCAGCATGTCAGAGCAGGAGGAGTCACTGGGTTTGCAGCCTGCTCACCCATCCCCATCCTGGGGGGATTCCAAGAATCAAAGTCCAGATATTCAAAATTATCATTTAGCAGTGGAACCACTCTTCAAATGAAGCCCAACATGCATAAATCAGACCAAGGCAGAGTTAATCTGTTTGAAGAACTGGCAGTTACTCAGTGTCCTCTCCCTAAAAAGGAAGCATCGCCCCAGGACCCCAGGACTTCCCAGATTAAACTAAATTTGCTTAGTTTCACTCCTTCCCTCACTTCATGGAAGAAACAGGAAGAGTTTTAAAGGGACAGGGCTTGGATTTCTGCTCTAACTCTCTCTGCCTGGTGATGCACGAATCATTGTTAGTGCATCTAATTAGGTTTTGGGTCACCTCCCCCTCCCCAGATTAAAGCCTGTTGCTTTGAGAAGGTCCTGAAAG